TTACATTGGATTGAAGGTTTACAGCCGTGAAAAACATGTACCCTAGAAATATAGTTGCTAAAAGTTAATGTATATTTAAATACTGTGTGTAACAGTTCCCAAAGCTCAAATGCACCGAAGAGAAGGCATATAAAGCATAAACAATATGAGGCCCCATGAGAGCTGTGAGGTACACCGTAGCAGAGTGAATGAAAAGAAAACACAAAAAAGCTGCAGAAAATCACACATTCAACCTACTATTTTACAGTAATTGCTCTTTTTTTTTCTCTAAATGGATAAAGTAATTCCTTTCCTTCCCTAAACCACAGGGGTGATAAGCGTTCTGTAACCATTAAGTTGTAGCACTACGTTGTTGGTATTGATCAACATTTCTTTGACATTGTTAAGACAAGCTTTTTTATGTTTAGTGATTTTTGTAAGCTGGAAATCCATCTCCTAAGCGTTAACCTTAAAACTAAAATTTATCACAATTTTACAAGGCTCTATCTTTCTAGCAAACTGTGTTCTACATCCTAGAAATATCTACATCCTAGAAACATGACTCCAGTCAAGAGTTCTTTTGATGTTGAAAAGATATATTACTTTGGCAAAGTTTTACTTTCACATCCATCCACTGGGACTCTCAAAAAAAAAAAGAAGATTGCAGGAGGTGTATAGAGGAAGAGATAGAAGTCTGACAGCAGCAATGGGGGTAAATCGTGTCCAGGCACATATGAATAGAGACAGAGGTCCATTCTCTGCCCGATGTTCTGATTGTCCAACTGTATTCTTAAAAAAATAAAATAAAATCCAACTAATTTACTCCGACTTTTTCTCCACATGAAAACAACTCTTTCCAAAATCTCTGTTTATTACTGTTTTTTAGATCAAAGCAATAAACGTGTTTTACTCCCGACCTGACGGAGGAGATGACGTGTTACATGTCTGGAGAATTAAAAAAATCCTGCATTCCCATTGTTCCCATTGACACGTGTTTTAAACTTGCAGAGCAGACAGACAGTGAATGGCCAGATTTGTTAGAAAACTATCGCCTCCACATAATAATGGTAGAATTCAAAAATAATAATATCTTGATAACCATTTGGCCCTGATAATGATAGGCCACATGCTCTTCTAACAAATCCCTGCTTGTTGCCAAGGTAACAGCAAAAAAAAAACACTAATTGTCTTTAACCGCACCCACGTCTCTAAAGATTTGGGAGCTGCCACCTTAGCAAGATTAACTTAAGGCAGCAAATCGTTATCAAAATATGGCCTTTATTAATCAGTTGATGGCAGCAGGGCCAGTTTATATTGGATTACAGTGGAAAATGTATAAAAAAGACAAACTCCTTTAATTAGATAAGCTCTGTCTTGTTAGTCTTTTACATTCATTGTTTCTCATCATTTATTTGCTGTTTAGTTTGCAGGTACTTCCAGGACTTTTCTTTCTGGTTGTTATGGCTAATACTCCCTTGAGAAATGCACAGTACTTGATTTGCACCTTATACTGTATCAGCAAGAGGTGCTTTACTGACTGCACTGATAAGTTGGAGATGGCAAAAATCCAGTCCTAATGAAGCCGCTTTGATTGTAATGTGGTTTTATTTTTATCAGCATTATCATTTGTAGATCAAATGTAAGATAATAGAAACTAAGTTCTGTAGCATGTACACTCATCATTGAAAAATAGAAAGTGTAGGCAGAACCAAAGATTTGTATAGCTACACTTTTCTTTAAAATTACTTTAAAATTGATAAAAGAAAATCTGTTTTTAGCAAGAGAAACATTCACACAGACTATGTCTTGCTCATAATTAAACCTTATTTTTCTGAACTTTTATCAGTTGTTTGACCTCTTTATTACAGTAATAGATGTGCACCGACAGGACAGTGACCAGTATTTCCTCCCCAAAGATTTATGTTTATTTTTGTTATTATTAGTTTTTTGTATACTGTAAATGCTGTAGATCAGCAGATGCAATATAGTTTGATTTTTTTTTCTTAAAGACAGCTATCCCAATCAACCTGCCACTTTGTGAAAATGTAATCCCCTATACCCCTCAGCAAGGTAGTAAAAATTATTTTGTGGAATAATTTTAATCCAGCAGTGTTTGGAGATTTTATGGCATGGATTGCCTTGGTCCTCAATAACCTGTTTTATTAGTTATCGATGCGCTCTCAACAGATTTTGGAGATCTGGCCACTCCTGGGAAAGGTCACCATTCTTCTTTTTTTTTTTTTTTACTTATATACAGTACAGCTTTTATAGTTACCCAAGGAACCTTAGAATTATTCTATCCTTTCAAATCTATAAATGACTTGGTTTTTCATATCTTCTTGAATTTCTTTCAATCATTCCGTGATTGTCTTGTATTTTGCTTGTATCTTGTATCAGTCTACCTGTTGTTGTCACACAGGTTCTGTAAGGGATCTTGGTTATGTTTGTTTAACATTGAAATGTGTTTGATAATTTCAATCATTAAATCAAAGGCAGAATTAAGTCGTAGGGGGCAAAAACCTTTACAGCTCTGGACATTCAGTGGTGAGAAAAGGTTTTTTGCCCCCTTTTTTGATTCCTTATTTTATGCATGTTGGTCACAGTTAAGTGCTTAAGAACATTAAACACAAAGTTAAGTTTTGCAGTTAAGATGTTTTCATCATAAAGGAAAAAAAAAAATCAAGATCTATTCTTTAAAAAGCGATTGCCCCTTAAACCTAATAACTGGTTGGGCCACCCTTGGCAGCAACAACTGCAATCAAGCATTTGTGATTACTTGCAGTGAGTCTGTAATGGCGCTGTGCAGGAGTTTTGCCCCACTCAGCTTTGCAAAATTTTTCTACAATGTCTTGTAGATTGTCTATATATTTACATTTCCTCATACTTTCACAATGTAGGCAACATGTTAGACTGTGAGGAAAGAATAGCATACAATGTATACTGTGGTTCCTTAAATGTTAAATATGGTGTTTTAACCATGATGCGTTTCTGAGATTTGCTGTAATGACTAACGTTGTAGGGAGTAATTAAAATTTGAGGGTATACCTTCGAGTGATGCAAGAATTTACCCTGTTGAATTAATAAATAGATTCATTAATTGTGCATAAATGTTTAACATGATGTGTAGCTCATAAAAATATTCATCTAATGAGTGCTGTAGCAGAATACTAACCAATAGAGGTTTTTCCATCTTACTTCTAGATATATGATACATTCTGTGCAGCAAAGATTATAGCTACTGAGATGAATTATTAGAGGGCATAATGGCAAAAAAAACATCACTACTGTTGATGTAAGAACCTTATAAAAACTGATGACACATTATTTTCTTTAAGCACATTTTTTTTTACTTTCATTGATCGAGGAGATCCCTTAGAGCGTTTCAGTTAAAACATATGCTCAGTCCAAAAATGAACATTTGACTTGACAGTCAACCCTTTAAGGTTGCTTACGTTTTTTACCCAAAAAAAAAAAAAATCTAATAGTGTCTTTTTTCAATTGACATAAAACACTCATTATATCTGAGTAAGAAGATTTTTTTTTTTAATAGTTTTTAATTCTAATGGTGGGTAAGGTTCACTTAGAGTATAGAAGTCTGGTCACTCTCTCCTTAAAGAAGTTTTATTAGTTGTTATACAGAAGAAGATGGAATCTCACCATCTATACTAGATTTCTTCTAGCACCATAAAGAGTTTCTGTTGGTATGATAAAGTATATTTACATATCTGTAGTTTTCCTATCGGATCTGCTACCAGCCAATGACAAAGAAATGAAAAATAACTCATTTTATACCTTGCCGTCTGAGGTATAGCATACCTTCAGACTGTCCTATAGCTTAATTTGACTGTGCCAGCACATAAGCTGTGTGTTACTATAAGTGTGCACTCTGGTTATAAGTGCTCTTAGCTTTTCACCTCACTTATGTTTGATGATTATGGAGGCAGGATGAGTTTTGCTCTCGATGCAAGTAAGTGTTTAGGAAGTTATGTTGTCTTGTTTCCTGTTATTGTGTGTGAGTTGCACCTTCTCCTCAGGGAATAACTTCAGTACACCTATCATAACGCTTAGATTTTCTTATATAGTCTATAAAAAGTCCTAGAATGAGTTGTAATATTTTATTGATGACGGTAATATGATCCTAGTTTGAATAGTAATTGACACTCTGATTCTTAATTAAATTATGTTATATGAATTAACAATCATGGATTATAATTTTTCACAAAAAAATACCAGTGCCACTTTTATTACCATCTATAGCAGCATATTGAAATCAAAATTGATTAATGAGATTTGACCAGATTTATTAAAAACTATTTTGCCTTTGAGCCTTTTCTTTATTAAAGATACAGTATAAGTAAATTGTTGAATAAGCTGCTTTTATTAGATGCTACCTATAAAGAATTCCTTCTCAAGGTCTTATTTTTATTTTCTTAGTTTGGTGTAACTACATGTTGTGCAAGCATTTGTGTTCACATAAATCCATGCTGCATCATCCTCATCCTACTCTGGGCGGGAGTCTTGTAGTGCCCAAGTGCGGTCTCCATGAGGTCAATGGCTGCTGTGATAATGCTTAACTGATGCCGCCTGTCAATACTCATTCACCGGGAGAAAAGTCCTCCGCCTGTTCAGTAAATTACACAGTACGACGTGAGCTGTGAGGTTCAAAACAACCTGACCCCACTGTTGTTGTGTGAAACAATAGAACAATGACTGCAATCAGCTTTTCCAGCAACCATCTGTGTCATACTGCTGCCTACAAAACACCTTTCCATTACTTCAGGGCTGCAGCTATTAGCTCTCCATGTCATTGACTCCAAAGTGAGATGGAGATCCTCCTTTATCCATTTTCTGCTTTGTTCTGTTGACCTTGACTTATGTTGGTCTTAAAAATACTATAAAGCTTGTCATCATAATAATTTTAACATGACATTTGCTTGCTTTCGTTGATTACTGTAGCGTTGTAATGTTTTCTGTGTTTGAGACATTCTGTTTTCCATTTTCCTTGACTCCCTCTTTCTCACGGCTTTTCCAAACATTCTCGGGAGCAGTATGAAAAGCTGTCCATCATGCACAAGAACATGCAGAAGCTTTACGAGAGCATAGGCAACTACTTCGCATTCGACCCCCACTCAGTCAGTGTGGAGGATTTCTTCGGAGAGCTGGCCAACTTCCGTTTCCTCTTCATGGTGAGTTTGAAACTATGGTGCATTTATTCCAATTGCAGACACACAGAGCCTAACGGCGCCCACCACCCACACATGCACATGCCTTTGCACTCACTTGCTCATTGGGTGTTAGTGAAATGAGAGCTGGTTGCACATGGCTTACATTTTCATCAGACTTGCTGTAGGACCTCACAGATGGTGAGAAATCACAATGTTTTCAATAAAACTGAAAGTTACATTTTAATTATGATAAATAGTAAGAAATACAAAATGACCAATTTCTTATTAAATTCAAAAGAAAATATTTACATATATATATATATATATATATATATATATATATATATATATATATATATATATATATATATATATATATATATATATATATATATATATATACTCTGTAATGCTAGGGTTTACAAAATCTTAAGGAAAACTACTGTTTTGACTATTACTAACAAAAACATTATTGCTAAGCCATAAAAGGGCAGTGCTAAAGAAGTTGGCTATTCACAAGATAGAACGTTGAGATGAAGAAAGAAAATGCAACAGCAATTACTGTAGCCATGAGATTTTTGCAAAGCAAGGTTAATTTAAGATTTAAAGTTGTGGACAGCTGGAGTAAGTGAGCCACGACACACATACTAATACAGGATTTTAATGAGGTTAACTCATTCCTAGATTCCAGAACCACCTTATCTTTTCTAAGAATCATCCCTGGATTAATAATAACATAAATCAATTAGGTTTTACTCCAGTATTGCAGAACCAATTAATATATATGTATTTTTTTGTAAAGAAAATACAAAAAACTGTCAAAAGGAAAACATTTTCTGATTCAAACTCAGCATTTATCTATGTGTGGTAAACCCCTACATTCAAAAACTTCTGACCCTAAAACAATAAACAAGGCTTTCTATTGCAAATTAAGATAACTTCAAAGACATCACCATTTTATCTCCTGGGTTATTTTGTCATTCTTCACAAACCACTTAAGGCTTAAGTATGAAATAGAGCATTGTGTTTTTTTTTTATTCAATTCAATTCAGTTTATTTATATAGCGCCAATTCACAAAACAAGTCATCTCAAGGCACTTTACAGTTTACCAGATCATACAGTCAAATTGATTCAAAGTTTTCAATCGAAGAAAAACCAGTTGATTGCATTGACTCAAATGCAATCCCTCACACCAAGCATGCTTGTAGCGACAGTGGAGAGGAAAAACTCCCTCTTAACAGGAAGAAACCTCCAGCAGAACCAGGCTCAGTGTGAGCGGCCATCTGCTGAGGCCAACAGAGGTTCAAGGAGACAGAAGCAGAGATACAAAAATCAACTGTAAAAGGTGGCCCCATCCAGGAAACACAGCCAGGCAGACGAACTCTGAGCCAGCTCTCATATCAGAGGATGAAGAGAGCACATTTAGCTGTGTCACGGTCAGAGAAACAGGACTACACTGGAAAACAGTCCCCATACAATTTTAGAAGCTATCAACTTCTTTTTTTTTTTTTCTATTCAGAGATCCATTAGACCTTGCCCACCTCAAAACACAGGGAGATATTCAGAGCAAGATATTTAATCACACCTATGTAGAGTGGACTTTACATTTATAATGGCTTTTTTTCTAATTTCCTTCTTAGCAACAATCAAACTGAACTCACCTACTGTCGTTTCCATGGTGATTCTAGGGAGATTAAGTTAAATCAGATGTTTACACCAAAAAAAACGGTCTCTTGTCTTTAGGCATCATTTGCCTAACGCTATAGTGTAAACATATTTTTACTATGAAATATAAAAGTAACTGACCCTTCCTTTTTATAAAATATCTACCCAATCCTTTACACTTATTAATGCAAACATCAGGAATAATTAATAAGTTATAGTAGAGATGATGTAAATGGAGAGGTAAAAAAATAATCTCTAATGAAGGATTTCTTTTTTGCTCACCAGTCCTCTAAAATGTATTTCCTTGTCTTTGCCTCTTTACCTTCTTTCCCTCCTGGCACCTCCCCTAAAGCTGCAGGTGTCAGGATGATGACATCCTGTCCGGACGGCGTTCGCTTTTTCTCCTCACAACCCATTAATGTAAATAGAAAGGTCCCCTTGTCTGGATCCCTTTCTTTTTTCACTCTGATCCTCGTGTGAAATCAGCTTCTCATTCTCTCTGATCAAAGTGCACGCGTCCAAAATGAGACTCCCAGAAGGATTCCAGAGTTGCATATCTGTAAAAGAGGCATCCACCCAAGAAAATAAATTATTCTCTCAAGCAAATAGCTGCATATGAATATTTTATTAGCAATTCAAACTTTCCAGCTATGGTTAAGGGGATAGAAGTAAGTGGGATATAGTGTAGTTAATATATTCATACAAAAACAATCCTTTAATCACCACATTCCTCAGATATTATTTATAGTTTTTGGTGCTTCATCTTTGCTGACAGAAAGGCTAATCCCATCTGCTTGCAGAGAACAAGGAATAAATAGTTATCCTATTTAAATGTTGTTTTTATTTTCTTTTAACCCTGTTAAAAAAACCAACGAACCGATTATTTTTCCTAAGAAGGTCTTATGCTTTATTTATCTTTGACAAAGGTTGACCTACATCGACTTTTCCAAATAGTGACAATATGGCAAATCAAAAAAAATGTGATGACTTGTTGTTATTGAATATGTTAGCTGAATTTAGCCTTTTGGTCGCATAGGGACATTTATCTCTTTATTTTTTTTATAAATACACACACATGGAATTGTTTGACTTGAACAAAACACCCCCCGCTAAGGTCTTTCTCTTTTGCGGTGCTCTTTGTAATCCATTCTCAGCACAAAGCATCTCCTGTATTAAAGAATTTCCTTGCAACACAGTCACCCTAAATTGCTTTTACTAAAGAGCGGAAGCTTAATGCACCCGACCGACATAAGGCATTTGAGCAAACGCATTGACAGACAGTCCTCACAGAACTGAATGTAACTGATAAGAGAATCCATTAACTCTATTTTACTTCTGTTTCATTCTCTTTCTCTCCCTAACCCCCACTTCTTTTTTTAGGCCAATTCAATATTTGAGGAGTTCAACACTTTTTTTTTTTTTTTTTATTTAATGTTACTGCCATACTTTGAAACAGAGCATGGGTGAAATTCAATCCCACAGAGTTTTATGTGTAATCCTGACCAGGAGCATGAGGATGGGGAGTTTTTCTTTTTTATTTATGAGTTATCAAAGCACAGCAGATGGGCTGGGATGAGCCAACAGTCTTCCTTGTTAATGAAGTGACTTTCTAATACAACCAAATAACCCAGAGTGGGTCTATAAAGTAACAGGACAGAACATTTATGAGATGATGTTTAATGGATATTGCTGCCATTTCTCCTCTTATATAATATAATGCTTATTTGTTTCATATTTATTCCAAAACTTGAGATTACTGCTTTTAGAATTGGCTGAATCAGAATTGTGTTTATGCAATATATTTACTTACTGTATAGCGGCACAGTCACTGCACAAGACTTTGGAGGTCACCCCATCAATATGTGAATACATGTATACAGCAGCAGAAGTCTCTCAGCCTGTAACCTATAACTTCTTGGAGCCATTTCACCCCACATCCTGGCACACGATGCAGCAGATGGCTAATAAACACATTTGCTACTTAAAGCCCAGGCGTTGTAGTGTTTGTAAAATTCAAATGAGATATGGCGATGACACTCACTCTGTGTGAGATCATCGGTGCAACTGAGCAGTTGGAAATACTTATTACGCCCTCACTGGACCGGCAAACCCATCTGCATAGGAAGAGAACCATGCTGTTGGAGAAGTGTTGTGTTGCTTAGGGTCAAGGAGAACAATACACACATTTCAAGAATTAAAAAGACAGCAGAGCAAGAAAGAGTGTCATTACTTTAGTGTAGAAAATGGCGAAGCCAGTATTTAGACAAATGTACTGACAGTTTAAACTGATCAGATGCCCAAACTACTGACTTATTACAGATTAAAGACCTCCTCACCCTTCCTGGGAAGCAGGGCTATGCTATAGAAACTCCTTTTAGCCAAGTTATTTAAAGTCTTCCATGTGTGGCACAGATCTGAGGGACATTTTACCTTAAGTCCAGTCAAATTGAATGTAGATAGTTGGGTAATGTTACATAAGCAGCGTTGCCATAAATTGTTAACTGGATTTGGATCAGAGCTTTGACTGTGATATTCTAACAAACCTAGGTGTTTTTGTATATTTAAAGTTATTATGCTAAAGGTTGAATGTCAGACTTGGTCATAATTGTTTTGTTTTTTTGGGGGGCTTTTTAAACATTATTGCATCTTTTTAGGTTCCCAGCAACTGTGAAAAAAAATGCCTCAAAGAAACAAAAAATTTGTTTGTGCTCCCACAGCTTTTCAGGTTATAAGCAAAATCCCTCCCTTTTGGGTGTGGAAACTTTATAGATAGAGATTTTGGCCAACCAGTCCTAAATATTGATCCTCAAAACCAATGAGAGGGAAATAAGACAATATGACAATTCATGACACGTCTTCTAGGTAAAATACAGCATATTGCTACTTCTTCTCCTTAATTAGTACTGAAAATGCCTCCTCTGCCATTGTCTTGTGTTTTCTTTTGTAAGACAAGCTACAGTGGATGGGACTTTCTATGAGCTTGGCAGCTGAGCTTTTTGTGAAGTTTGAATACTTTGAGGCAAAATTATTTTTTTTCTTGTTATTTCCACCTCAAGAAGAAAGAATATCTTACAGTAGTCCTTGAAGAGTATGTGCAGTAGCAAACTTAACTGAGTCCAGCCGGTAAACTCGGGGTGATGTACATCAGGGGTGTCCAATCCATACCTTGAGGAACAGGTGTCCTGCAATTTTCATATAGGTCTAACTAAATTGGAATGATTGCAGAGGATGCTCTTTAGTCATTGGTTTTGGATGTGTTGGGCAATGGACAAGAGTCTGCCAGCTCTGATGTACAATGTCAGTTTTTCCTATTCCCAAAGAACTATGTGTATCAGTGAAACTCTTAAATAGTTTT